CCTAAAAGCCATGAAAAGCTGCATAAGTGGAATTTGCTGGGGCCAGTGTTGTAGTGTAGCACTTTAAGCTATACCTGGGTGTGAGTTCTTGTCTCAGCTACTGCACCTCTGATGAAGCTCCCTGCTGATGCAATTGGGAAAGCAGGGGCAGATAGCCCAAATGCTTGGGTTTCTGCACCTACACAGGAGACGTGAAAGAAACTCGAGGTTGCTGGCATCAGCATGACATAGCGCTGGCTACTGTGGCCATATGGGGAGTGAACCAATAGATGGAAGATCTGACTCAACCCCTCTCTCTGTAACTCTGCCATTCAAATAAATAAAAATAAACCTTTACTAAAAACCTTTGCTAAATTGGGGGTGCTTACTAAGTATATTATATAGAGATAACTTTTCAATAGGTATAAAAATTATGAATTCCTTATATGCAAGTTTTTTTTTTTGAACTTCAAGGTGTTTTTTTTTTTAAATTGTTATTAACATAGTATTATGTGATACAGTTTTACAGGCACTGGGGATTCCCCCCACCCCTCCCACACCCCTTCCCCCATAGTGGATTCCTCCACCTTCCTGCATAACCACAGTTCAAGTTCAGTTGAGAGTCCTTCATTGCAAGCATATACCTAGCATAAAGTCCAGCATCTTATTGTCCAGATAAGTTCAGTGGCCTCTGGGGGAGACCTTCTCTGGTCTGAAGGTAGAGCTAACAGTAAAGTTCCAGTCAGTTAAAAGCCCCAACAAATAGGATTGCATGATACTACAACAGTTGATCAACAGTAGATTATGCATATGATGGTAGTTTTGTAAGATTATATCACCTAGTGATGTTCTGGCCCTGTGAAAAGCAATCTAGTTTGCACAGTGGTAAAATTGCCCAATGAAGCATCTCTCATGAACACCGCTGTCATTCCGTGCTGCATGCCTGCATTGGAATCCTAGAACGTTATAGCTCTTGACTTATGACAAATGCATCTATGAGAGGCATAACCTCTTACAGATTAGAGATTCAAGCTTCATTTAATGGGGCATGAGGCTTTGAAATTTCTTTAAAAATTATTTATTTGGACATCACAGTTACACAGAGGAAGAGAGATAGAGAGCGAGAGCGAGAGAGAGAGCAAGAGAGAGAAAAGAGAGTTCCCAAATAGTTGCAACAACTAGGGTTTGGCCAGGCCAAAGCTAGGAGTCTGGAGCCTCTTCTGGCTCAAGCACTTGGGCCATCCTCTGCTGCTGTCCCAGGCACCTTAGCAGAGATGGATCAGAAGTGGAGCAGCCTGTCTGTAACTGGTGCCTCTATGGGATGTCAGTGTCGCAGGTGACAGCTGTAGTTGTTATCCTACAACACTGGTCCTTCAATTGAAATTTAAAAACAGCTCTATTAAGCTATCACTTATACAGCATTAAATTCACCTATGAAAAGTGTGCATTGTTTCCACATTACTTTTTCTCAAATTTTGGCAGTTAAATGGTAATCCTTTTGTATTAATAATGAATAATAATAAATGTAAATTTAAAAAATTTACAGTTCCTTCACATGAGAAATTTTCGCCTATGATTGTTAGAACCAAAGGAAAAGAAAGGGTAAATAATGGTAAATTATCACTACAGGAGTAACAGGTGTAATAACAGAGCAAAGGTCGGTACCCTAATGACTGTCCTCAACGCTCTGTGGTAAGAGAGACCCAGTTTAATTTGCAGAGAATCACTTCACTATCACAGGATTAGAGAGAGAATTCCCTTGCCAATAACCCCTGTAGCTTTGGCTGATATGTTGTGATGGGTGTATTGTCACCTAAGACAGTAGTAATATTTTATTAACAGGGGAAAAAATGTAGATAACAGCCTTGGGGTTTAAAGTGAGTATCTGGGGAGGAAAAACCCAACCTACTCATTTACTGCATATACACAGTGAGAAAGCTGGGAAGTGTTGAGAATTCTGAAAGTCACCTCGTATCAGTGTTAATAATCTTCGTGATAGATGGCATAGATCTAAACAGCGCGTTTTTTTTTTTTTGCCAAAATAACAATGTGAAGAAAACACATAATTTTATTTTTATGTGAAATGGAGGAATGTTCCACAACATTAAACCTCTCTGATTTGTTCTAAGATGCTGGATGCTTGGCATACAATCGTGTGAAGTAGTTTTTCCTGTAAAAGATTGCTTATGGCTATACACTAGAGGAGGGGCTGAGACATACTTGGCCCAGGCATCCTGATCTCACTGTTAGGCTAAAGTTTCTTATGCAGAAACTTTCAGCTTTCTTCTGGAGGTAAAGGTGCGTTCCTGTCCAGTGCTTACACCATCCAGCACCATCCTCTTGCCACCGAATTAAATACGTGATGACAATCACCCTGCTTGAAAATACAGCAGCCTGATCACTTGCTCCATGAAGCCAAGCTTCTCAACCTCAAGGTTGTCAAGATTGAGTGCAACAAGCAGAGACATGGGCAAAAAGGAGGGCTGGACGGGGCACAGGACAGGACAGGATAGGACAGTGACTTCCAGGAGGAAACAGTAGTACAGAAAAAAGACAGACATGACAGAGGGAGAAAGAGAGCAATGGATGGAGAGAGAGAAGAAACAAACCGATCTCTTTGTTGCTAAATGTGGGGTCAAAGGCTAAAGGTTTTGGCATCCCTCCACATTCAGAGAACTGGCCTAGGAATGGAAGTTGGCACTGCTGAGGGCAAGAGACCTCTCAGGCATCTGGGCCAAGTGCTGCAGGAAGGCACGGTCAGGAATCCTGTAGGCTTTATCGCCTCAAGTACAAAGCACCATCCTTGTCTCTCTGAATTTTCTTACATTGCCTAACTTCCTGTTGCATTTGCTCTTCATGATGTCCAATGCATGCTATAAAAATAGTGCAAGAGTTTTTTCATTTTTTATTTTATTTATTTATTTTTTTAAAGATTTATTTTATTTTTATTGGAAAGGCAGATATACAGAGAGGAGAAACAGAGAGGAAGATCTTCCGTCCCCAAGTGAGTGCAATGGTCGATGCTATGCTGATCCCAAGCCAGGAGCCTCTTCTGGGTCTCCCGCGCGGGTGCAGGGTCCCAAAGGTTTGGGCCGTCCTCCACTGCCTTCCCGGGCCACAAGCGGGGAGCTGGATGGGAAGAGGGGCCCCCGGGATCAGAACTAACGCCCATATGGGACCCCGGGCGTGCAAGGTGAGGACCTTAACCACTTGTGCCACTGCGCCGGGCCCGAGTTTTTTCATTTTTTATTTGCAAGAGGTCGAGATGGATTAATTCTCATTAGCAAGTTCTCTTCTGCAATGTCCAGACTGCTGGGACTGGGCCACGTGGAAGCTGGGAGCCTGGAAGCTAGAGTGAGGAACTGAGTCAGTGCTCAGACCCAGAGCTTGGATGTCCCCAATCGCTGTCCCCACCCCGCTTCTTAAAGGAAGTACCCTTTGTTGTACAAATAGAACCTGTGGCTCTTTCAGAAATCACTCTTTGTAAATATCTGTTTTCTTACTTTTGGTGACTAGAAAGCTCAAGTGTGGAAGTATCTTTGGGTAAGTTCTCCAAGCATGACTTTCTTTGCATGAGGTTTCTCACTGATCCCACTGGAGAGTTAAGGTTGTGGGGAAGGAGGAGAGTAAGAACAGTCCTCTTTGTTTTACAATCACTTACTCGTGCACAGCCATTTCATATCCTTTTCAAACCAAGTTGGAATGAAAACCAAATCATTTAAACCTAATGCCTTTTTTCCTTATGATTTCCTTATGATCTTTCTGCTCTTGCTTTCGATTTTTTCTTAACCTCATCCAACCCTCAAATCTAACTTTTCTTCACCAACTTACTTTGTCTCGATTCTTACGTTAATATAATTTTTATCCTTGTAAGTATGAGTTTGAGGTGTTCCCTAGTGTTTTGCGTGTATTAGGCCTGCTGCCTTAAGTTATGGATTTTTTTTTTTAGGGGAAATGACTATTTGGGGATAAGCTATTGTATTAAGCTTTGCTTCTGTTCTGCATTTATAGTTCATTTTAACACAATGCTCAGCTTTCAACTGCTTAATTTTCAGAGCACATCTTATTTAGAATTGTAGGAATTCATCTAATTGTCTACATGCAATAACCTAAACTGTTTTTTTTTTAAAGATGTACTTACTTTTATTGGAAAGGTTGATTTACAGAGAGAAGGGGAAACAGAGAGATTTTCTACCTGTTGGTTCACTTCCCAAGTGGCCACAATGGAAGGAGCTGAGCCAATCCAAAACCAGGAGCTTCTTCTGGGTCTCCCATGCAGGTACAGGGTCCCAAGGTTTTGCGCCATCCTCCACTGCTTTCCCAGGCCACAAGTAAGGAGCTGGATGGGAAGTGGAGCATCTGGGACAGGAACCGATGCCCATATGGGATCCTGGAGCTGCAAGGAGGATTAGCTAGTTGAGCCCTTGTGCCAGTCCTGCAACCTAAGCTTTTGAAATCCTCCTTGCAAGTAAGGCTATTCATCCAGTAAATAATCTTGGAGTTCCTACCTGGTGCTGCTAGACACACCATTCAAATTTGTCCTTCAAGGTGGATGCAGGAGACGAAAGAGGCTCTGCAGTCTCTTGACCGAGTCTCTGCAGTCACTTGACCGAGGAACCGGTAGGACAGGTGTGTCTGTATGGGTCTGACACTCCTTTAACAAGTTGGACCTTAAGTTTGCAGCCAGACAAAATTTGGGTGAAAGGTAGACATAGCAATTCCAACGAGCCCACGCCCATCAGTGTATAAAGGGTGTGCTAATTACAGCGCTCGACCCATCCCGGCTTGAGAATCTTGCTAGTTTTAACCAACCTGGAGAACAGGTCACCCGAATTCAATTCCAACCCCTAACCCCTGTCTCCCAGATTCGAGGAAGGAATGTGAGGCGAGTGCGCACGCGCCCTGCTTGCCTGCGTCGAGACTACAAGTCCCAGCATGCAGCGAGGCATCCCGGGTCGGTCCTGCATGGGTTCTCCTAGGGGGCAGCCGCCAGGAGTCCGTGCGTGCTGACGTCGACGCGCGGTCCGTACGTTCCCGCGTGAGCTTGTCTTGCCCGTCCTGGGCTTGCTTATCGTCAGGGCGCCTAAAGGTGTCGGGAGCGTCTTTGTAGCTGCGTGGTCATTGTAAAGTTTGGCGGACAGTGGTTGTTAAAAACAAACAAACTCAGAGGACCTGAAAGGGGTCGCCATTTTCCTGGCTCTCCTTCGTCCCGAGTTGGCGACTGCCGAGTCCAAGATGAACAAAGTGTGTGCGATTTTTGGGGGCTCGCGGGGTATTGGCAAGGCGGTGGCTCAGTTAATGGCCCGCAAGGGCTACCGACTGGCTATCATCGCCAGAAACCTGGAAGTGGCCAAAGCCACCGCCGGGGAGCTCGGCGGTAGGTACCCAGCTGGCGTGGACGCGGGGCGCACAGGTGTCTCCCCGGGTGGAAGTGCCGGCCTCCCTGCACCTGGCTGCACGGTCGCCGCCCCCCGCACAGGCCCGAGCCCTTGGGGCTTCTTTTGAGACCTTGCAGTCCTGTGGGGCCCCACTAATAAGCACCCACCTTCCTGCGGCTGGTGCAAGTCGTGAGAAGCGGCTTTGTTTTGGCGTCTGGGAGGGGAGCCTCTCCACTTAATAGCTCCTTATGTGGTAGGGGAGGGAAAGAACTTGCTCCCGCGCCCTGGGCTACGGGCCTGGGCGGGATGGAGATCCGGCAGGAAAGGTAGGCGGGAAGGTGTAGACAGCACACCGAAGTGTTGCTGAGGGCTGTTTTTGCTAACGCACAAAGCTGGGTTTCAAAGAGAAACTGCTTTTGAGTCCCAGCCAGTTTTGAGTTAAACCTGGCCAGGTTGATCACATCCTTAAAGTTTATTAAGTTACAACATTGTTTTACTCAGTTTTGCAAGCGAAGTTGTTTTGCGCAATTGTTACGTTGCCTCTGAACTTCAGTCTTGCCTAATAGCAATGAATCAGTCATGGTTCTGCGAATTTCCAACTCTTGATAGAGAAATTGTTGTTGGAAAGATGCTGAGCTGATGCTGTATTTTTGCTACTGTAATGGACAAAAATATGAATGTTTACTGTCAGTGAGGAGAATAAAGGTCTAGGAATGTGTTTTTGTGGCTGCTACTTTTAGTTTTTAAAAGGTTATTTAAGTGGCAGAGCGGCAGATCTTCCATCTGTTGGTTCAGTCCCCTCAAATGCTTTTAACAAGAACTGGGCCAGGTGTGAGCTAGACGCTCTGTGGCGGTCTCCCACACTGGCAGCACGATCCAAGAACTTGGTCTGTCTGCTGGGTATGGGGCAGGTAGCTGAATGCCTAGCTGGGATTCAAAGTGACCCTCTCATGTGGGATGCTGGCAGTGCAAGGGGCTGTTGTGTTGGCTATCCCTTCTCCTGGCTGCCACTTTTAAAATAGCATCGTTGATTTCATGGACGCTGCTTGAACTCGTGTTCATTGTCATTCTGACGAAAGAGAGAAAGCAGTGCTTGTTCCTGGGCACTCCGAGCCATCTGTGTGTTCCACTGGGTTAAACTCTTTGCTCAGCTTGCAGAGGGGTGTGTGGGTGCAGCAGGTCCTTGGACGAAAGCCTGGAGTGATGCTATGGGGCCTTTCATTTCCTTGACGCATGTGTGCTGTGTTTTACCTAGAACGTTTGCTTTCCCAGGTGATTTGTATTGCCAGAGGCTGGAGAAAGTAATGATAGCGTGAACAAGGCAAGTTCAGGTGGGAAATCAGTTATTTTAGCTTTTTTAAAAAAAAATCTGTGTTTACAAAAAAAAAATCTATCTGGGTTTTAAAAAGGATTGATTGAAAGGCTTAGTTACAGAGAAAAAAGGGAGAGACAGATCTTCCATCTGCTGGTTCATTCTCCCAGCTGACCACAGTGGCTGGAGCTGGGCTTGTCCAAAGCCAGCAGCTTGCTCTGGGTCTCCCACGTGGGTGTAAGGAACCAAACAAGCACTTGGGCCATTTTCTGCTGTTTTTCCAGGTGCGTTATTAGGGGGTTGAATTGGAAGTAGAGTCACTGGAACTCTTGTCTGCAAGATGGGGTTCCAGAGGGAGGGAGGGAGATACAGATATCTTTGTCGCTGTCTCACTTCCCAAATGGTGGCAATGATCAGGGAGGGGCCAGGATGCCATTCAGGCCTCACATGGGTACAGCTGCCCAAGTACCCTGGCCATCTTCTGCTTTCCCAGGTACATTGGTAGGGAGTTGGATTGGAAGTGGAACAGCCCGACTTGAACCAACATCCATATAGGATGCTGACATCTTGGATGGCTGCTTCGGTTGAAACACCACAACAGCAGCTCCCAAATTCTACATCTTAGAGGACAAATACTCCTGTATTTGACTTTTTAAAAAACAAAGTGGTGGACCTGATGCATTAGCCTAGTGGTTGAATCCTTGCCTTGCAGCCACCGGGACCCCAGCCCATTTGTGTCCCAGCTGCTCCACTTCCCATCGAGCTCCCTGCTTGTGGTCTGGGAAAGCAGTAGAGGACGGCCCAAAGTCTTGGGACCCTGTGCCAGCATGGGAGAGCTAAAAGAAGCTCCTGGCTTCGGATCAGCACAGCGCTGGCCCTTGTGGCCACTTGGGGGGTGAGCCAGAGCATGGAGGATCTTTCTTTGTCTGCATCTCTCTGTAAATCTGCCTTTCCAATAAAAAAGAAAGGATAAATCTGAAATAAGTGGTGAGAAAGCAACTCTCATTCGGTTTGCATTTGCACTTCTTCCGGGGCTGTCGTAGATGCTAGCATACTCTCATCGGTGGCCAGTGACAGATACCAGCTGGCTTTGTGGGCGTGAGAACGTAAAGCAGTATACCGTGTCACTAAGCAGTGATATTCAGTAGGTTGGGTGGAATGTATGTTTTCAACTCAAGATATTTTCTGTGTATCCAGATGTAACCACACTGTAGTTCAGGAGCACCTTTTTTGCTTTTTTTTTTTCAACAAATTCCTGTGTTGTCTCCTCTCCCTTGTTGTTGGACCTGAGTAATATTCGCTGTGTGTGCCATTGTGGATTTGTAGCACTTAAAACACAGGGAGAAACTCTGGAATTCACACTTAGGACAAAAGAAATCAACCAAACAATAACAAAAATTCTAACAAAATTGGATTTCAAAAACAATAAAAAGTCCAGGTCCCCAGAATTATTGAATTGGGTAGCATGGGTTCCCTGTTAAAGCCGTAAATGTTAGATATATTTTGCAAAGTGTTGTAAAGTGGAAAAAGGCTCCGCTTCCCGTTTTGTGAAATGTTGGGGCTGGTGTTATGGCATAGTAGGTTAGGCCTCTGTCTGCAGGGCCAGCATTCAGAGTGTGCGCTGGTTCTAGTCTAAGGTGCTCCACTTCTGATCCAGCTCTCTGGTAATGGCCTGAGAAGGCAGCAGAGGGTGGTCCAAGCCCTTGTATCTTTGTACTCACATGGGACACTTGGAGGAAGCTCCTGCCTTCAGAGCAGCTCAGCTCCTCTCAGCTCTGGCCATTGTGGCCATTTGAGGAGCACATCAGCAGATGAAAGACCTTTCTCTGGCTTTTCTTCTCTCTGAAACTCTGCCTTTCAAAGAAAAATAAATTTTTCTAAATGAACTTGTGTAATATTACTTTATTTCCTTTGTCCACCACTGCCCCAGGCTAGCTTCTTTGTGGGAGCACGTGCCTCGTCTTTACATGCTTTTATCACTTGGGTACAAGCTCACAGGATAGAGCATGTTTAATGTACTGAGTGAATTTAAAATGAAAGGTGTAATTTATCTGTGATTGTGATTTAACTGTTTTGTAGGAGAACACTTGGCACTAAGCTGTGATGTTGCTAAGGAACGTGATGTTCAACATGCCTTTGAAGAGATGGAGAGACACTTAGGTCAAGTAAATTTCTTGGTGAATGCTGCTGGAATTAACAGGTTGGTCACAAATTTCAGCACAATTCCAATGTCTTTTTTTCTTTTTTTCCAAGTAGATCTTTGTGGAGTATATATTTACGCGCTAGCTATGTTGTTTTACTTGTAACTGAAAGAAAAGCCACACATTTTAACACTTGGAGAATCCATAATATTGTTTCTAAGATACTGTGTTAGAAAGGAAGTGTTTAATCGGTTTGATCAGTTTTTAGGACTGCAGTCACCTGCCACCTACACATGGCAGGGCTTTCCCAGCACTGAGAAGGTTGTCTTGATTTCTAACTTAATACCTTCTTAAGGGCAGTCACTGTGCTGAGTTCTGTCACTGTAGGTTCTGACAGTTTATGAACCCAACAGTGAGGGAGTCCAGAGTATTTTTTGCAAGATCAATTTACTCTGAGAAAATATTCAGAGTAATCCTAGTTGTCTTGCTGACCAGGTCTCACCATGGCAGTTGTGCAGGCTTAGCTGTTTTGTTTCTGTGGTGTACTTTCACAGTCAGCAAAACTTGCTCCCGTGGCTAGAGGGGGTGTCCATGTGCTTTCTGGCTGGATCATTTCCTGGTCCTAGGTTGTTAGTGGTTCTCAAGCCGAGTTGCAAACGGGACCCCTAGATAGTCTTACAAAGCTGGAAAGCACATCTTAGACTCCATTTTTGGGTAGAATCCTATAGTCTAGATTTCTTCTTTGTTTAAACATCTCATTTATATGTCACTTTTTCTTTGTGTTTGAAGGGATGGTCTTTTAGTAAGAACAAAAACTGAAGACCTAGTGTTGCAGCTTCATACCAACCTCTTGGGCTCCATGCTGACGTGCAGAGCTGCCATGAAGGCCATGATTCAGAAGCAGGGAGGGTCCATCGTCAATGTAGGTGAGTAGTTCCCCTCTCTGTGTTGCTGATAATCCTTCAGTGCTGTACAGTTTTTAATTCACTTACTGGGAGGTTACTAAGGTAAGAAACTCGAAAGGAATTAATCTTTGTATTTATCTGTGTAAAACAATGTAGCCAAAAGGCCAAGAAGCGATGGAAAAAGATTTAATGAACTGTTTAATGAATAAAACATGACCATGTATTCACATCCTTGAAGAGGTGAGACAAATGATAAGTGAGTTGACACCATCACATCCTAGAAAAGTGACAGTGCTGGCCACGTGCTATATGAGAAAAGCAAGAGAGACAGTCATTTTCCATCCAATGGCTCATACTCCAAATTACTGTAATAACCAGAGCTGAGCCAGGCTGAAGCTAACAGCCAGAAACTCCATCCAGGACTTGTACAGTGGGAGAGGCCAGCACTATTGAGGCCGGGATATTATCATTGCATATTAGCATGGTCCCAATTGTGCCAGCAGTCTTGATTTTTCAAGAGAAGTTAGACATCTGTATCTTTATTTGAAACCATAATGTTAGAAATGTGTATAAAGAACTTAAAATCATAAAGTGTAGACAGTAGGGCCTGGCATGGTGGCCTAGCAGCTAAAGTCCTTGTCTTATATGTGTCGGGATCCCATATGGTCACCAGTTCATGTTCTGGCAGCCCTGCTTCCCATCCAGTTCCCTACTTGTGGCCTGAGAAAGCAGTCAAAGGTGGCCCAAAGCCTTGGGACCCTGCATGGGGACTTGGAAGAGCTCCTGGTTTCTGGCTTCAGATTGGCTCAGCACTGGCCATTGCGGCCACTTGGGGGGTGAATCAAGGGATGGAAGATCATCCTCTCTGTCTCTCCTCCTGTCTTTATGTCTGACTTTGCAATAAAAATAAGTAAATCTTAAAAAAATTGTAGATAATAGAGGATAAAGAGCAATGTTTACAGCCACGCATGAATGTATGCATGTTTATAGTCATGCAAAGGTTTCAAGGAAAATTAACTGAGTTTTTTTTTTTTTTAGAATAGTTGTGAATATATACTACTCCAGTTTATCTGCCTCATGAGTTTGAGAAACCATGGAGTACATACTGTGGAACTTAAAAGGCACAGTGACCTGAATGAAATCTGACTTTACTTTGTTAATATCAAAGTAGTGTCACACAATCCGTTTTTTAAGTGACTACACATTAAAAAGGCCACAAAATGAAAATGTTACTCCATTAAAGTAGATAACCTCATTTTTTTTTCTTAATACAGGAAGTGGCTTTCCACGCAAAATCTGATGTTTTTAGTTTTGAAAATGAGAAAAGAAAACTGTGCTGATGAATTAAGATGCTATTAGAACTTTCAAAAAATTTAGAAAGAATTAGAGAGAGAGGCTGGCTCATTCCCCAGATGGCCACAATGGCTAATATTGGGCTGGTCTGAAACTAAGAAGGCAGCGGTGTCCTCCTTGCCTTCCACTGCTTTGCCTGGCCATTCTTAGCATACTAAATCCAAAGAGGAGCAGTCGCAACAAGAACTGGTGTCCACAAGGGGTGCTGATGGGGCAGATGGCAGCTTCTGCAACATTTTTGACATTATTATTATTATTTTTAAAAGATTTGTTTTCATTTGAAAAGCAGAAATAGAAGGAGAGATAGAGAGCGAGAGATCTATCCACTAGTTCATTTTCCATAGGACTACAGTGGCTGGAACTGGAAAGTATGTCGCAAAGAACCAGGAGCTTCTGCATGTCGCATGTGGATGCAGAGGACCCTGTCCCACTGCCTGCCTGCCCTTTAGCAGGGAACTCGAATGGAAGTGGAGCTGCCAGGACCTGAACTGGCACCCGTATGGGAGGCTGATGGAGGCTTAGCATGATACGCCACAGTGACATCCCTGACATTGATGGTTTTTTCCTTGTATTATCTTTTTCTTATTTTTATTAAAAAAATGTTTTTTACAGTCTTTACATAGTTAGGGTAAAAAGGTTCAAGCGCTACAGGAAGATGGGTAAGACAGTTCCATATTGTTTCCTTAATATATCTGATGTGAGAAGCCCCACCCAGTCTCCCATCCGCCCCAGGTCCCTGATGTGGCGCATGTTCCCAGGGTCTTGCTCAAGTGGTATTGATAATTTAACAGTTATCATTGTTGCCAATCTCACCAGTCCAAGCATGATGAGGTCGTTGAAGAATCCACTTATTGACATAGTCCATCATAGAGTCTCCGTTTGCCCTGTTTTTCATTGCCAACATATGGCTGAGGTGGTTGATGGACTTGTTCTGTCCTCTGTCTTTTCATGGTTGGGGTTCTGAGTCCAGAAGCTCGATTGGGGGATCCCCAAAGAAACTTTGAGCTGTTCCCAGACCAGATTCTTGTATGTACTAGCAAGTACAGAGCCCGCCACAGTCCATTGCCCCAATCAGCTGGTGGTTGCAGTTCCTGGGTTGGTTCTGTTTGGGTGCCGCAGTCCAGGCTGGTTCTGCCCAGCACATACTCGGCCCTCACAAAACCAGTGTGAGCTGCAGCCTAGTCGGAGCGACCCACAATAACCCCCACCAGGTCTGCCCCCTGCCCTGGTTTGCCATTGTGTGTAGCAGACTAGTCCAGTCCGTCCCACATCCTCTTCTGATCTCATGCATGGCTTTTCCCTGATCTAATCCACATGAGGCCCACAGGTGTTGTGGCCCTGCCTAGTCTGGCCTGCCCCCATCCCAGCTCACGGTCTCCAGTGGGAGTAGCCTGACAGTGATGTTTTAACAATGTGAGGGATGAGGCAAGTGCCATGGTAGTTACTAAGCCAGCACTTGTCCTGCATATTTCCCATAGTGGTTCAAGTCCCAGTTGCTGTGCTTCCCATCCAGCTTTCTGCTCACATGACTGGGAACAGCAGTACTTAAATATGCCATTGAGTACATTAGTATGGATTCCTGCCATCCACTTGAGAGTCCTGGATGGAGTTTCTGGCTGTTAGCTTCAGCCTGGCTCAGCTCTGGTTACTATAGTAATTTGGAGTATGAACCATCGGATGGAAAGTGACTGTCTCTCTTGCTTTGTTTTTTTAAATAGTTGAAAATAGACATTAATTACAGATATTTTTTTCAAATGGATTAATGAATGAGTTGGCCTTTGGCTTTTTTTTTTTCCTTAAGATTTTTTTGTTTGTTTATTGGAAAGGCAGATATATAGAAAGGAGAGACAGAAAGATCTGCTGTCTGCTGGTGTACTCCCCAAGTGGCCACAACAGCTGGTCCTGAGCTGATCCAGAGCCAGGAGCCTCCTCTGGGTCTCCCACGTGGGTGCAAGGTCCCAAGGCTTTGCACTGCCCTCAGCTGCTTTCCCAGGCCATAGGCAAGGAACTGGATGGGAAATGGAGCGGCTGGGACATGAACCAGCACCCATATGGGATCCTGGAGTGTGCAAGGTGAGGACTTTAGCTGATAAGCTACTGCGCTGGGCCCAACCTTTGGCTTCTAACAAAATAGGCGTATATCTCTCACCTGGTAACATTCAAATTTATTTAATTCTACAACATCCCTTTAGATATGTTTAAGAAACTCATGTCGGCTCTTTGGATGTATGTAAAACCTTTAAAAATGCACTGGAAGTAAATAAAAGCATATAAATAAATCATGAGAATATGATTACGGAAAAAAAATTGCACATTGCTAGAAATTTCATTGATGTTTCAGGGTTTTTTGCTTTTTGACCAAATGAATGATAAGCGCATAGCATGAACTGAATTTTTTTGTTTGTTCTGTTTCTCTTTTTAAAAATGCTCTCTGTGTTTCTATTTCTTGTAAATACCCTTTCTTTTTCCACCTGCATTTCCTCAGACCAGTGTCTTGTCTTGGTTTTCTGCCTTCACCGTTAACCAGTTTACAGTGCATGATATAGGTAAATATGTAATATTTGACTCTGATTATAATAAAAGTGGAATGTTTTTCTAAATTTCTTAATTTTTATGAGGCTTGTGATTAATTCTTGTAAGTACCAGTCAGTGGTGCAGAAAATTACTTCTGTACTTCTGTTTTGCAGGCATTATTTGCATATAGCTGATATTTGAATTATAAATTATTCTTACATACTCATTAAATGAAGTCTCTTAAAAATCTGTAGTAAGCAGTAAAAGTTGCAGTACATCATGGAAAGTAATGAAATTGAGCTTTTACAGAATGTTTATAATTGAAACTATATTAATTTAGATTAACAGTACCTTCAAATGAACTATTTTTCTTAAATGTGGAAGTGAATGCTTACGCCTTGCTGTAGAATCATGAAATTCATCATCCTTAGGCTTTTTCTGGCTTTAGCTTCTTTCCTCAGGAAACCCTTATAAACACGATGGAATTCATTTTGTGTCACCTCTTCAGGGTAGAGTTGGTCTCTTTCACTTAGTGGGTCAGTTTGTAAGCCTCAAAATTTATAAACTTATAAACTCAAAACTTACGAGTTTATATCAGGTTTTATTTTTCAAAATCTTATTTTTCTGTTAGTATTTAGAGCAGACTGGGACTGTTGAGTTTTGTTACCCAACTGACCATGGTAAGAGTTCCTATGTTTAGTAAATACGTTTTTTTGTTTGACTTTATATATTGTGTGAATTTTCGAGGAACCTCGTTAATTAATTGAGTTGAATCTTCTTTTTTCTCCCTCTAGGAAGTATTATTGGATTAAAAGGCAATTCTGGCCAGTCTGTGTACAGTGCCAGTAAAGGAGGATTGGTCGGATTTTCACGTGCTCTTGCCAAGGAGGTAGCGAGAAAGAAAATTAGAGTGAACGTAGTTGCACCAGGTTAGTGAAAACTTACTCAAAAGCTCTACTGATTAAGATTTTTGGTTTATGTGGAAGAAAGCTGTGAATCGGCCCATTGCTTGATAGTCATTGATTAACTATGTAAAATAGTTCAGATGTGATTGTGCAGAATCAAATAATGAACTGGTGACTAGAAAAGAAGTTCTTTGTACATTTTGTTGTGTGCAAAACCTTTTCCTTAAAAATTTCACTAATGTATGAAATGACTAAAGATATAGAAGATCTTATAGATAATGTATTCCAGTTATTTGCAGTTTAGAAAACCAATATCTGGGATTCAGAGTGACTTTCTCAAGATTGCCCAGCCATTTTGCGGCAGCAGTCTCACTAAAAGCTTTTGTTGCTTCATTTCCTTTGAAGGAATAATGGAGATTTTGCTGCCTTGGATTCTGTAGCATTCAGAGCCCTGGATTTCTGTGTTTTTTTTTTTTCCCCTCCTGCATGATCTGGTTAAACTCTATGGAACCTTACAAAACCTTTTACCTTTGTAATTGCAGTCAGGTATCCCTTAGCAATGGGATTCACTCTGAGAAACAACATGAGGCGATTGTGCGATATGTGAACATGACACACTGTGCTTACATGCACTAAGGTGACGCAGGATTTTGGGACCACTGCCGTTTACATTACCCACCAGTGTCCTAAATGTCCTTATGTGGTGCATGACTATGTTTGCCTTTTGACTAGTTGATAAAACTGACTGTATTGGCAAAGAGGGTCGTTAAAATTGTTAAAATTCTAATCTATGTCAGCACTCATTAACTGATGTGCTAGATGTTTTATTTGGCATTTACTTGATGTTTTAATAAATTGTTTATGTATACCTCTGCCAGTTAGCCATAGAATTGTATGCCAGCTTATATATAGTTTTCAGGAATTAACCAGGTATGTAAGAAAAATTTAACTTGGTTCACTACTTGGTTGTAAGAAAGAGTGGGCTAAAGCAGACCTTAGTCACATTCCCTTTTAAAGTCACTAGTGACTTTTGCTTGGGCTCTGGAGTTGGGATTTTATTTGGTGCTGATACTGAGCCAGCCGGTCTCAGGGAATTAAAAGATGTCCCGCCAACTCTTTTGCTCTGGGTGCCTTCATTGCAATTTGTTGTTTACGTGCAAAGACCAGCACAAGTCACTCTATGAACGCTTGATACATGAGTGTAGTTTACATACAGCTAATTTTGTTTTTGTTGTTTTTTTTCTGGAAAAAATCTTGCCATTGCTTTTTGTTTGCATATGCTTTATAAAAGCTTATTGCTGTTGGTGTTAGATTAGCTGTGTGTGAAATGACATTTATGATTTGGTACCCCACATATTTGCTTCCTTTTTGTTTAGGAGTGGAATAGTGCGGGTAATCAAGAGTAGTTCGTGGTGATTTAAAATCTGAATGGTTTAGGAGGAGTTTTCCTGAGTCATAGTAAGTCATGTAGCAAACTTTCTGGAGTATCTCCTGTATTCCAGAAGTGTAGGAGGGCTGTGTTGAGTCCCAGACGTAAGAAGGAGTAAGCTATTTCTGCCATGAAGCGAAGCATAGTGGGAGCGATAGACTTAAACAGAGTTGTAGTGTCATGTGATGAATGTGAAGTAGAGGTGCATACCAGGTGCGGTGCAGATGCCAAAGAGAAAACACTCTTAGTTGTCAGGGCCAAGGGCTAAATGGTAGGAACCAAGTTAATATAAAGGAAAACTTTAATAAGAACGTTACTATAGTGTGATATGGCTTTTCTTAAAGAGATTTTCCAGTGCAATTTATGCATTAGATAAAAATCTTTTACTGTTGCAAGTTAAACTGCTGATTGTGACAAAGTAGTTCATATGAGCACTGATGGAAAAAGGTCGCAGTTACTCCATTTCAGGTCCAGCTGCTTGCTCACATGCCTGGGAAAGCAGAGGGGACATGGCCCAAGTGCTTAGGCCCTCCATATGGGGAGTGAACTAGAGGTTGGAAGATCTCTATTCCTCTTTCTTTATAACTTTGTCTTTAAAATAAATAAATACTTTAAAAAAACCCAAAAACAAAAAAACCTTGTTAAAATGTGACCATTGCATAGGATGACCTTTATTGTGTCACTCTGCTTATGTACCAAGCAGGTTTCCATCAGTCAGAAGGAATGTATAAGCTGAAATTGAAGAATCAAGTTAATTCAGTGGATTATTTATTAACCCTATTTTAAAATGCAATTTTGGTCAGATTGTTCACCAGCCTTCGAACACCTAACATAGGTAACAGATACATAGTTTTTTGGTTACCCTCAAATGGAGGCTTCATAAGGAGAACAGTTAAGTGAATTACAAGGAGCAGCAAGGAACAAAGCAGACAATAGAGGCTGTCGGGGCATGTGCTTAACTAGCAGTGAGACACTTGAGTCTTGGAGTGTCCAGCTTCGATGCCTTCCTCTAGCTCCTGACTCCAGCTTTCTGCTTATTCAGAGTCTTGGGGCAGTGGCAGTGGCTCAAATAATTGAGTCCCTTATCACCCATGTGGGAAACCTGGTTTGAGTTCCCTGAGTTTGGCTTAGTTCTTATTGTGGGCATTTGGGAAACAAACTAGAATGTGGGAATGTGCTCCTGTTCTCTATTTCTTTGGATGTCAAATAATCATTAATGCTCTGCTTAATATTATTGATTACTTTTAAAGGTGATTAGTTAGCAAGCTTTGGTATTACAAGTAGAGCATCCCTAATCCCCAAATCCAGAGTTTGAAATACTTGTACGTCTGAAGCTTTGTGAGTGCTGACAAGATCAAAACGTTTTGGATTGGGGGAACGTGAGTAGGGTTGCAGTGTTTTAAGCTATGGCTTAGGACACTCACTTCCATACTGCAGGGCTGGTTGGAATGCAGCTCCTCCGCTTCGCTTCGGCCAGATATTCTGCTGTTGTGCCTGGGAAGGCAAGGGTGATGGCCCCAGTATTTGTGTCCCTGCTGTCTAGCTGGAGACTGATTGGAGTTCTTACCTCCTGGCTTTGGCCTGGCTCTTGTGGACATTTGGGGAGTGAATCAGTGGATAGGAAATCTTTCTATCCCCTATCCCCTGTCATTCTACATTTTGAATAAACTAATTTTTTAAAAAATTTGGAATTTGGAGCATTTTGGATTTCAGGTTTGGGGATTGCTTACAAATCTGTGTGACTGTTTCAAAAACTCCGAATTCTGAAAAGCTTCTGAACTGAAGCATTTTGAATAAGGGGTCTTTAACTTATACTTTTAATATAAACTTCTCAGCATAAATCTTACTGATTAGAAAATATTAAACATGGGAAAAAGTATTTCATGAATTGAACCAGTAATGGACATATTGCCCTTAAAATATGTATGTTTTGAATAAATAATATATAGTGTATGAATTTGTAAGTTACAAAAGGCATAAAGTGAAACATTCTCTCTTTTAGACATCTGGCTACTTTCATTAATAGCAACCATTATTAATAAGTTCTGTAGTTCATATATAAGGTAATAGTGTGTGTATGTGTATACAAGTATATATCAGAAAATACACCTTATATCAGACTATCGTAATGTGCTGTACCTTGTTTTATTCATAGAATAATATGTCTTGGAGATAATTTCCTGTTCTTTTTAAAAAAATGTTTTGATACAGTTCCATAGGTTCTGAGATTTCCCTGTTCTCTCCCAAAACCTCCACCCCCACACCCCCCAATTTCCCCATACTACAGTAGTAATATAGTCCTTCATGAATAGTCCCTGAGTCCATCATTCTCTTGTTCAAGCATATCCTGACATTGCGGGCATGGACAATGGCAGAGAGTCCAGCATCCTATTGTCAAGATACATTTAACAGTGTCACTGGGAATCCATCTTTACTGTGGAAGTAGAGATGTATACTGCATTGTATCTTCACATCTGGACATGATAGTTCCTATTACACAATTACTGTGCATCCTGTTAAATGAAAAGCCATAAAACAAAATCAACAGGAAGAAAAATATGAAATGTACAACCACATCAAGTTGAATAACATGCTACTGAATGAGCAATGTGTTGCTAAAGAAATGAAAAAAAAAACTTATTGAGGAAAACGATGCTACTGTATGACCTATGAGTCAGTGAAGTAATGAAATAAGAAGACAGTTTTTTTTTTAAAGAAATGAAACTAAAACCAAGAAATAGCAAAACCTATCAGATGTAGCAAAAACAGTATTGAAAGGGCTGTTGATCTTAATTTTGCATGAAGGTTGCTTTATATTCTTTAAAGAACTGTTTGATTTTTGAGACCATTGGATCAGGGCGTCTGGCATACTGGTTAAAATGCTGGTTGCAATCTCCATGTCAGGTACCAGTATGCCTGATTCAAGTCCTAGCTCCTCTGTTGCAGATCTAGCTTCCTGTTAATAGACAAACTGGGAAGCAGCTTATAATGACATAAATATTTGTCGCTTTGAAAATCCAGATTGAGTGGCTCCTTGCCCATTAGTGGGTGGATGATTTCTTTTTCAAATACAAAAAGAGTTAAAGTTGCAGTTTTATAAGAATCTAACTCACGAACCTTATGAGTCATTCATTTAAAATGTATAATTCAGGCATTTTATTGTAGTTATAGAATTGTCATACCACAGTAAAGTAGCCACGTACTTCTGTATGTTTAAATTTAAGACCCAGAGAGAGATTTTCCTTTTGCTGGTTCACTCTTTTTTTTTTTTAAAGATTTATTTTTATTATTTTTTTTATTGGAAAGGCGGATATACAGAGGAGAGACAGAGAGGAAGATCTTCCGTCCGATGATTCACTCCCCAAGTGAGCGCAATGGCCAATGCTATGCTGCTCCGAAGCCAGGAGCCTCTTCCGGGTCTCCCACGCGGGTGCAGGGTCTCAAAGCTGTGGGCCGTCCTCGACTGCTCTCCCAGGCCACAGGCAGGGAGCTGGATGGGAAGCGGGGCTGCTGGGATTAGAACCGGTGCCCATATGGGATCCCGGGCGTGCAAGGCGAGGACCTTAACCACTGTGCCACTGCGCCGGGCCCACTG